TCACAGCATGAACCACAGACAGGTACCGCACCTGTACATCACAGAATGAACTCACACCTGTACATCACAGCCCTGCACCACTGGTAGGTACCACACCTGTACATCACAGCATGAATCACAGACAGTATCACACCTGTACATCACAGCATGAACCACAGACAGTATCACACCTGTACATCACAGCCCTGCACCACTGGTAGGTACCACACCTGTACATCACAGCATGAACCACAGAGAGATATCACACCTGTACATCACAGCCCAGAACTGCAGACAGGTATCACACCTGTACATCACAGCATGAACCACAGAGAGATATCACACCTGTACATCACAGCCCAGAACTGCAGACAGGTATCACACCTGTACATCACAGCATGAACCACAGAGAGATATCACACCTGTACATCACAGCCCAGAACTGCAGACAGGTATCACACCTGTACATCACAGCATGAACCACAGACAGGTATCACACCTGTATTTCACAGCCCTGCATCACAGACGTACCACACCTGTAGATCACAGCATTAACCATAGACAGGTATCACACCTGTACTTCACAGCATGAACCACAGACAGGTACCACACCTGTACATCACAGCCCAGAACTGCAGACAGTATCACACCTGTACATCACACCTGTACATCACAGCATGAACCACAGACAGTATCACACCTGTACCTCACAGCCCTGCCAGAATCAGTCCATGCCAGGAGGAGGCAGCAGTGGCAGGTCAGTCTTTATTACTAAATAAATAGTCATATAAATCTTGTGCAAAAACGTGTGGCAAACCCACTGGCCTGGTGGTCTGCAGGGCCATGCTCCTGGTGCCCAGCCCACAGCTCCTGGCACGGCACAGCCCATGGCCCCAGCACAGCAAAGCGAAGAAGCAGCACTGGAGCTCAACAGTGAGAGCCAAGACCCCCCAGCACCACCAGGGCAGGGCCAGGACCTCCCATCGGGGCTGGACACTCGCTGGGACTGCGGCTGCACGAATCCCTGAGGAGCAGACAAGCACCATCCAGCCCAGTCGCAATTCCAGGGCCACGTCGAGGTCCTGGGCAGAGTCCATCGGGTCCCAGCACCAACGTGCTAGAGTGGGGAGCTCGGGGCCTGGCCGTGCCGCCGCTCCCGTGCCTCCGTGCCGCCGCTCCCGTGCCTCTGCTGTCCCCATGGTCCCCAGTGGCACCACCACCTCCTCGGGCTGGCAGCTCTTGTTGAGCTCCACCACGCGCGGCACCACCGTCGACCAGCGATCTGCGGAGAGGTGGGAGGTTGGCAGAGCAGGAGCCTGTGGCTGCTCCCTGGTCAGCCCCCAAATCTGCTTCCAAGGCTCCTCAGAGGCTGCAAGCAGCATTCCAAAGGATGCTCCCAGCCCATGGCACCACATTCCCCTCCCCATAGCCTCCC